GAAACTTGTTTAGTGTAAATTTGTACAAGTACAAATTTGAAACTTGTTTAGAAAAACACGAAAATGATGATAACCAATTGTATGTTCTGATATAAAGCTTTATATTTGTTAGCAACTGATAGTGCTTAGTTATGGGGGAGTAGGTTTGTTTCCCTGCATGCCAACTGCTGCTACAAATGGTCTCTCTTTTCTTCAAACAAAATGCTTATGGAACTAATGGGCTCTAAACACCAGCTCTCAATCTCACTTACCAAAATTTGGACTGGGTGGAACATGGGTCAGTAAATTATATTGTTGAACTATACCTACTAAGACTTCTGAAAGAGCATGAACTAGTAAGGGCACTGCCCTTTTCACTGAGAAAAGCCTGAGAAGGTTGTAACCCCAAACACACTCTGGCCTCAAGAAAGAAACCTGAAGCAGGCTGTTCTTCTTGGCTTCCTTCTGGGAGGGTTGGAGATGAGTTATGAGGAGCTAGATGGTAAAGAGAGAGGTGGGACTCAAGCATGCATTTAGATTGATTCTGTTTTTTATTTAATTAAAATATAATTACATCATTCCCTCCCCTCTTCCTCCCTTCCTCGGCATCCCTCTTGTAACTTTCCAAAGTCACCGTCTCCTCTCCTTTATTGTTGTTAGAGATAGACATAGAAGAATGAATGTATAAATATAACCTGCTAGGTCTGTTCAGTGTTTACTGAATGTATTGTCCATTTGGTACTAGATAACCAACCAGAGGCCTCATATTTGAAAAAAAAAACCCAACTAATTCTGTTCCAGCAGTTGTTAATTATATGTAGCTCTTAATCTAGGGATGGGGCCCTGTGGGATCTCCCCATCTACATTATTGTGTCAACCGTTGGAGCCTTGTTTAGGCAACCATGTTGTTGAGATGTATAGCTTCCCTGTCATGGACAGAAGGCACAACGTTATGCTGAACCTCCAGGGGCTCTTACAATCTTTCCGTTCCCACTTTCATCAATGTTCCTAGAGCCTTAGGTGCAGGAGTTATGTTGTAGCCGTAGATGGGGATAGGCATCCTATGGTCAGTTGCTCTCTGCATTTTGACTAATTGTGGTCTTTTATAATGGTCTCCTGCTGCAAAAAAAGAAGGTTCTTTGATAAGGAATGAGAGCTACACTTATCTGTGTCCCTGTCACATATCATTCTATTTTTAACTTGGTTCTGAATTTGGAGGTACCAGGTGATCTTCAACGTAAGCTGATTAGTGACTCCCTGGCTGTTAGGCACGTGTTCACCGTGTGCTCCACATCTCCTTAGCTTCCTTAGAACTGTTTCCATAAAGACTCGAAAAGCCAAGAAAAGATCCCATGTAAAGGGCATGGACCATGCCCCCGACCTATTTCTAACAGCACCTTAGATTACTGGAGGCTTTCCAACTCTGAATATGTGTGCATTTTCTTCTGCCATATTTACTCCAAATTTATCTTTCAGTTCCAGAATAAGAATAGAACTATCTCCTAAATGCTGGGAGAATGGGGCAAATATAGTATCATGAAACAATTTCTAAAGGACTCAGACGTTAGAGATGCTGTGGGCATTTTCAGATAGGATGTGGAAGTTCATTTTGTCTTTCCAGCTGAGGAGAAATCGGTAGAGGCAAAGGTGAGAGAACAAAGCATTCTTGGTAGGAGTCTTCACATTGGATTGGAACAATGATGATCCTTGGTCATGATTCTCAGAGCATCCGTCCCCCATTTGTAAAGGATGAAGATTTAGTCCCTACCAGTCCATCACAAGATAACTTTATGCTCAAAGGAAATTCCATCGTCTCACAAAACCCAGTTTTTTTTTTTTTTTTTGTTTGTTTGTTTGTTTTTTTTGGCATTTTAGCTAGAGAGGAAGCCAGGTATAATGGAGTGGATAAAGGGAAAACTGACGTTTTGTGGTACGGGGTGCAGGAGCCTTGTGAGCTGCAGGCTGTCTGAAATCTACTCCCAGAAGGCCTGTTCTATTGGAAGAGCTCATGTATGGTCCTGCCGGCTCCCTGGCTTCTATTGTGTTGCCTCCATTACCACTCTTCTCTCAGAGTAAGAGAGCCCTGGCCACCAGGGGATGTATGGCTTCTGGAGAGGCTCAAAAAGATCATGTGATACACCTGCACTAACAGGGAACAGGAGTTGACTCAGCAAATTTTAGGTGAAAAAGAAGAAAATGAAGAGCTAAAAAAAGTGCTTTACCTTCACGTCACTTTCAAAGGAAATAGAGGCTGTGGAACATCATCGTGGTAAACAACCTGACAGCAGACCTTCACAAATAGCTGACTCATCTAAGCCCACACATAGTAAAAAAAAAAAAAAAATCACAATTCGGGTGTCACTCTGCATTTTATGTTAAGATTCTGTTTTAAAATATGAATAGCATTCCTTGATACTGGAGATTTCCTGGGAGTTCTGGTTGATTGTATGGGGGAAAAGTTTAACATGGATTATCTTCAAGCTTCCTTTGTTTTTATCTGTTTGTTACACCCAGGTTGTCCTTTTCAAATACAACCTTGTGGCTCTGTTTCTAGCTCTAGGATTGCTGAAATGGGGTCAAGGGAAATGCATAAAAATTAAATTAATGAGAGAACTCACTTTCAGGCATTATTTTCTATATGACTTAACAAAAGCATCACTTGAAAATAATAATTTCAAGAAATGATACTTTCAGAGATTATTTTGAGGTTAATGTCCTCTTCTATTAACTATTTGGGGCTGTGGAGTCAATGCATTCAACATTTCTGCAGTTCTTTTCAAATTGGCCTGAAGAGATACTTTAAGTAGAAAATTACATTATAAATTTCTAAGAGGTAGAGAGTTATTTAAATCCTATTTCAACTTTATTTTTTAAAGCTCAAATACAGAAAATTCTAAGAGGATATGAATACATGAGCAATGTTAGACTATCTAAATATCAGAATATATACTATGGAGATCACAAATGCTAAAAACATGGAAAAAGGTAATTGAGCAATAGTATATTTTTCCTACTTTTAAAACTACTAGCTAAACAGAAATTTTTCATAGGATGCTTTGAATTTTTGGATAGTGTATTACTTGGGGTCAAAATAGTTTAGTCTTTATAACTATTGATAGCTTAAGTTCACATAGCTTTACTCTATTACGTTAATATTTGACCTCTATATAAACTGAGCGGTCCTGGGATATTTGATCCATTGAAATATATACATATATGTATTTATAAAATAACTGGAGCCATGTCTGTTTATAAGCATATACCATATGTGCATATATAAGATACATATTATACATGAATAAATTTTAAATATATTGATAAATGTAAATATACTGAAATAATGGATCGATATTGAAATATGGCTATCTATTAATGTTTATGCTGACTGTATGCCATCAGTTCATTCAGGAGTGCCTTGCTAGGCAGCAGTGAGTAGCATCTGGAGTGCTCTAGGGAGGGTGAGCAGACCACTGGATACATCCACCACAGTCAACACCTGATACTCACCCCTTAAACAGAGCATTGGGTTGGCTTTCCTTACCACACAGTTCCAATTTACCACAGAAGTACTGATAAAAGTTGGTTACCACATCTGTGTGAGTCTGTATGGTTCTGTTCTGTGTATCACTCAAGAGACCTTAGTAGAAGGCTGCTAGTTATTATGCAGCGCTGTTTACCTTATGAGAAAAGTCACGTGGCACAACAAGGCCCACTGTAAGAGTTTATGAGGAGAAGAGAGGGACAGGAGAGAGTGTGCTTAGGCCTTCCGAAAGACTGGTGACTGGTGCTGGAGGAGGGAGGGTACGTGGGATCTGCCTTTCATGGACTCCCCCGTGCGTGTACATATGGGCTAGGTAGCTACACCAGGCATGCGCATAGATTATGTGGTCACGTTGCGCAATTACATGACCATGTAGTATACGGATTACGTAGGACATAAGGCCCCTGGAAATGACTGTCTCGTCAGCACATGCACAGTCATGGGGGCATGGCTAGAAATCCTATCATCTCAGACTTTTTTTCTTATAAAAGATGGAGGGTGAGTGGGGATGGGGGCGCCTAAAAAGAGCTAGAAGCAATAATTTTACCCAGATGGGGTGAAGTTCCTGTGGCATCTAAGTAAGAATGGGTTTCAAGGACCGATTGGTACACTCCACCTTCCCTGAGGACTGAGGATGATATGGGATATGAAAGTGCCAAGAAATATTAAGAGCCTTAGCTAGTGTCTGGGAAATCTGGGAGGTGAACTCTGGAGCATTATCAGACTGAAGAGAGTCAGGAATCTCAAACCTGGGAATAATTTCCCAGAGAAGGAGATCTGCAACTGTCTGAGCCCACATATTAGAAACTGGAGATGTGCCTACCCAATTCAAAAGTGAGTCCACCATCACAAGGAGATATTTAATTCTTCTGAGAGTGGGCATATGGGTAAAATCGAGCTTCCTGTCAGATGGAAGCAGTTTCAGGAGACATGGCGCCCCCATCCCCATCCCATAATCCATCTTTTATAAGAACAAAAAGTCTGAGATGATAGGATTTCTAGCCATGCCTAGATGCTTAATCATTTCCAGGGGTCTTATTGTCCTATGTAATCACGTAATTGTGCCCTGTGTGATCACATAATTGTGTGCGGAGTGGCACGTAATTACGTGCAGTGTGATCATGTAATCTATGTGCATGTGTGGTGTAGCTATGTAAGCCCATATGCACATGCACAGGGGAGTCCATAAAAGGCGGAGCCCACATACCCTCCCCCTCTTCCTGCACCAGTCTTTCAGTAGGTCTAAGCACATTCCTTTCTATCCCTCCCTTTCCCTAATAAACTCTTACAGTGGGTTTTGCTGTGCCTCATGACTTTTTCTCACATGGTAAACAGTGCTGCATAATAACTAACAAAGACCAAACACTATATTGTGTAGGTTCACCCAGCAGGTCATCCATGCCTTTCTTCTGATGAAACTTGATCCTCTAAATGGACATACCACATTTTGGGAGACTATGGAAAGAAAAATGCCACTAACTGTTTCCTAAATGGTAGGGTTTATTTCAATACTCACATACAACTGAATGAGGCAAACTATTTACACAAAACATTAAGTACAAAAAATATAATACAATTTATCTGTACATAATTACGATTCTCTTAGTTTCCACAAAATGTTGGCAGAGAGATGATGAGCAGGATTGGAAGGGAGTTCTAGGAAGGGAGTAGTGTGCTCTTGGCATTATGCAGGACCATTTTATGACTTCATTGTTAAAGGAGATGATAGATACTGGGGATGCACCTAGAGCAGTGATACAAGATGACATTTCCACTGCTATAATAAGTACAAGTTTCACCTTATTAATATGTTTGGCTAGACAGGTGTGAGTTGGTTTTGGCTGATTGTTTGGGAAGTGCCCCTGCCCACTCCTTTTCGGAACTTCCCTAATTGGTTCAGTGACAGACAGAGTGAGTTCCCTACCTGGGTTGACACAATTAGGGTCTCAAACTGATTTCTGAAAACAAGATATCTGCCAGGTATCATTAAGCAACAATTTGAGGCAAGGACCTGGCCAGCTCTAAGGGAGAACATAAAACCAGTAAGTTAAACAAAAAGACAATGACCACAGGAAGCCACCAATGCATGTGTCTAGGGAGAGTTCAGAGGAAATACTGACAGCCAAACATAAGGACTGATAGTGTGGGTGGCCGAATGTCTGAGAGAGAAAACAGTCACCAGCAGGTGCATCCCCACACAGACCCAAGTAGCTGTTTTCTCAGGGAACTGACAGGGGAATGGATACAGAGCTACCTCACTCTTGAAATGGCTCTGTAGTAGCTAATATATATTGCCTTTGAAGTTTAAATTTTAAGATCAGTAACAGTCTGCAAGTTTACCAGGGGCTGAAGTTGGCCTAGGAGAAACCTCAATGAATAGGAAATGAAACAATCCCAAACGGTTTTATTTTGTATCACGAAACAGGCAAGGAGGCAGAGCAGGTATAAAGTCGAACCAAGTTGGGTAGCACAGGTTTGGTTGCATGTTTTGCAGAATCTTACACTGGGACAAGCTGGTGCATCTCACTGACAGATGAGGTGAGCATCATGGTGATTCAGTGGTTGGAGGCTTGCACTGTGCATGCTTTTGAAGCAGATCTTGAGGCATTAGTCCACAGTCATGGTATAAGAGATAAGTGGTCAACTTTAGCACAGAAGACACTGCTAACATTTTAAACCCAAGTGCAACGTACCAATTTGATTAATTTTTCGAGCAGTTCTGATATTGAAGTTGCAAAATCAGACAAAACAACCCACATACCATTCTTGTTGGTTCTCATTCCACACTGTGTTGCTGTTAGTACCCTCCATGGTTTCCTTGTACCTGTGTACTGCAGAGCAACAGAAACAAACCTTGACTTCTATGTGCACTGACTAGACTTTTCTATCACAGGACAGGATCTAACATGATTCCGTGAAGATCTAAAAATTAAAGCAACAGCTTTTTTCAGGCTGGACTAGGGTCACCTCATCTGGACACACCCTTGTTCCTGTTCTGAAAGCAAAACCACATTGGAACATGAGGCATTTCTGTCTCATTTTCTGTTCCTAAGTTCAAACAGACACACAAGAGTAGTTTTCCTCGAAGTGTATACAACCAACCCTTGGCTCTGATTGGAACGATCAATAACCAGGAGGAATAACAGCACAGAGCTTAGAAAAGGCACTAGCAACTTTATGAGGAAAGTCCATCATTTCCTGCAGATAACAGACTTCCTTTAGTGTTCTGATGGAAGAACAGTTTCTGTTTATCAGAGCCCAGGCTTAGCTTTCTGCTTGTATTTATCTAAAGTTGGAACCATCTGGTATTAAATTACCAAGAAGCTGGGAAAGATAAGGATTATGGCTGACCTACTGGCCTTAGGTTCTTGACTGATTATGAAGGGGTGGAGACCTCCCTGCCCCGCTTACTTTTCAGCTATTTCCATCTCTGATTTTCCCTTTCTGATCCAAAGTATCGTTGATTAGTTTAGTTACCTGTACAATGTCTCCCAAGTAAAGCAAGTTGATGCAGGCTCTGGTCATGGATAATAAGCTTAAATGGCAGAACATCATTCAATGAGATCACGCTTTGGGGCTGGGCTTTCATTATGAACTATACCATTTGTACCAGACTACAAATTTGGTGTTCAGGAGGCTGCACATTGTTTGCAGCATGAACTACTTTAAGGGATTTGTTTCCATCCCTGATGCTTCAGTAACACGTATCAAAATTCTGGTAATGCAACACTACAATGTGAACGCAACTCCAACGTAAGTCCATAAAGAAGAGTGACTTTCACAGCTCCTGCCAATAGTTTGCATATACTGTTTCCCAAAGGGAACAGGAGCAAAGTAGAAAGCAACACATTTCTTTTGTTTCATGAGATTATTCATAGAGACAACCTGAAGGCCTTGGCTTAGTATTTATAGAGCTGCAAAATCTCCTTACATCATTTTAATTAATGATAACAACTGAAAAGATAAGCTGGAGAGATAGATGATACCTGAGCTCTGGGCATTAAGCTCTCACACAGCATTCCCTGTGATACATCTGCTAGGTCAACAAGAACATTAGCTTGGGTTTTCCCATCTCACATGCATTTCTCAAAGAAGCATTGGACGCACAATGTCCTTTAGTATTTGATAATAGATAATATCACATACCCACGGCTCATATCGGGTTTTGAAATATTGACAATGATGCTTCAACATAAATCTCTAGATGTTCCATGAAGTTGTAAAGGTGTAGGAATGAATAGATGAGCCAGGCATGTTCACTATTTTCAGACTCTAGGGAAACAGCAGAGAGTTCGCAAAGGAGTTGATGTAAGGTTACTGCCTTGAGACCTCCAGGAAAAGTGATTTGGGGAGCCATGAGACTCAGACATAACCTGTCACTTGAAAAAGAGGTTGCTCTGAGGCTGACAGAGTCCACTATATCACCAACTGGTAAATGGTGGCTGGTTTTTCTGGTTGGGGCTCCCAGACTTTTTTTTTGAGACAGTAGTGCTGAATGTAGTGGACCCCAAAGTGTGACTTAAAACATGAAGGGCTCACTGAAGAGTCTAGGATACCTCAAAGTTAAGAAAGTTGATGACTCTGTGGAAAAACTGAGGAGGAATTTGGCTTTACCTATTGGGGAACTATTTGTGGTTTATTCTAAAAGCAAGAAAATTCAGCAAAGAAACACGAGGATATATGCAAATTTATAGACTAATAAGCTGTATGGAGATGAATGACCAGAGGCAAACCTGATGCATCTTTAGGAAAACATCTCCTGGGCTGTTTGATCACACAATAACATAGCCATCCCTTGGGTGGAATCCTCTTTGATGAAAAATTGCCCACAGTATTGAAGGCAAGATCCATGCAGAACATTTGCTGACACAGGTGTCAGAGTTGGTCATTTCCATCCCTTTGTAGATAAGTAAGGAAGCAATAACGCCCTTAACTAAGACTCATGCACCCAGGAAATGTGATTATAGAGGAGTCCAAATGTCAGGCCCACAGTACTTGGTTGTGGGCCAATGCAGGATATTCAGTAGAGAGTGACAACCCTCACCTTTCCATCTCACATGCCACATCTGTTTCTTTTCTTCTCAGTATCACCTGTGAATCAATAACATCCACACCCAACTATGTGAATTGGTCCTTCCTGGTGACAGAGGCATCTTGATGGCAGATGCATTCACAAGCATTTTCTGTTTATGGCTTATCTTTGATTGCTTTAGTGTCTCTATCACTCCACATACGAATAAGAAACCTTCTTCTGTTCCCTCAAAGTCAATGCTAATTCTAGGTAGAATCTACTTTAATATGCGTTGTGATGTATTCAACAGAACTAGGGATGCTTGGGTACAAGGAGTAAGTTTTAAGTGGCAGAGGCATAAAGAGGACTAGCTTGCATTGGGAAGTTTTGAAGAAAAAGCCTAGAACTATGATGACAGAGACTTTTTTCTTTTGAAGCATAGTTTCACCCAGTGTCCCAGAGTTCCTTAGAACTCACTGAGTTAGCTTCAGTCAGTGGTGACACGGCCCCCAGTTCCAAGAAAGTCCCCAGGGTATTTGGAAATTTCTCAGGCTGTGCAGTGTGCAAATATTCTATTCTTCTTTCTGCAGAATGTCAGCACCCAGCAGGATTGATGATGGTCTAATCAGAGAGAGAACCCTAAACAACATTGGGACCAACTTTCAAAGAATGTAAGTATGTGACTAAAGCCAGTTTCTTAATGAAAACCAGCCAAACTTGAACCCTAATTCTAAAAAAATAAGCTGATTAATGTCATTTGACAACAGGTTTAGCCAGATGTAGCTTAAACACGTTCACTCCCCCATGTGTTTCTCGTATCAAAGGGCAAAAAGGAAGCAAGGAAAGAACGAAGGAATGAAGGAAGGCAAGAGGGGTCGTGTACCTCCAGAAGAGAAGTCATGTCACTGGTGGTGAAAACCAGAATACAGCCCATGGTATTCCTGAGCAATTGTTCCAATTGTTTGGCTAAATAAGAGTACAGGCCTGGTGGCTGGGGGTGGAAATTTGAACAAAGAACCAGGAAGTCAAAAATGAGGCTTTAAAAAGGCAATACTAGTGTCAGAATATTGTCTTGTTTCAAATATGAGAATCCCGGGGTGGGGTTACTATATCAAACTGACAGAGACCAGATTGGAGGTCACTTAGAATGCATTTCCTATCAAGTTTAGCTATAAGTTCTTGAAATATTTGCACCCTCCTTTCCAGGGGAAAGAAAATGACCTTTCAAGTTAGGGAAACATTCAAGAAGGGGAGCTTATTTTTAAAACAAGAAAATTTAGTGCTACACCAGGAGGATTTATTCTTTTCTTAAAGAAAGTGATGTGATGAGTTGAGGCATTCAATGAAAATCCACCCTAGAGACAACAAATAAATCATCCGACACATCTATCTGTTGAGTGTGGATTTTAAAAATGTGTGTGCAATGGAGGCCACATACACTGTAGAAGAAGTGTGTGAAATGCCACACGATGCCCCACTGGGATATTCCCATATGCCACTTCTTTACAATCTGACACATCTCCCAGAACCCATCTGCCATTTTAATTTCAATTTTAACAGAGAATTAGGTCTGAAAAATGTGCTTATATGAGAATAATTCATGACTAATCATGGGATTTTTGGGGGGAACACTTTCTGAGATTGCTTTTTTTGTATTCGATAGGGAAAATACACACTCATAAAAACCCTGTGCTATACATTTGCATAGACGTGAAAGTTTATTTACCAATAAGAACATGTATGAATACCTACTCAGGCCTTTATCATACTGACCAGTGGCACAGACAAACCATTTTGTCTTTGCTTTTAAAAAGCATTAAATCGATACCCATATTCTCTGTATCAGGTGGTACTGGGTCTCCTTTACTCCTCTGAGGACCTCAAGAACCGTCTTAAAACATTCCGCCATGACTGAGAGCAGAGGGGTCACTAAAGCCCTGACCTTCTGAACTATTACCTCTCAAGGGACATCGTGACTGCTACTGCCTCAGAGCAAAGTGGAACCGGCTAGGCCGGGTGCACAGGAAGGCAGCTCTAATCAAAAGACTCAGAGCCTGTCCCTCCTCTGGCCTGGGGGCAGCAGGGGACAAACAAGCGGAGCATGGTACTGGAGTGCCACTCCAGTGTGACTGTGCTGAGCCCCAGAGGGACAGTTTGACACACCTTTAATGCTCTTGATAGGGGCCCATTGATGTACATTAGACACATCAAAGATGATGACTACAAAAAAATGCTTATCATTAAACATCAGTTCATTCAACACTGCATAACACAAAAAAATAAAAAGAGTAGCTTTCAATTACAGTTTGGTACTTTCAATATTTTCCATAATTGGCATCAATGTTCAAGATTTCTTTTTTCTGCAGGGAGGGAGGGATATAGAGTCTACCCAAATGTTAAGACTGACTCTTCAGCATGTTCCCACTGCCCAGGCAGGTGGCCTTCAGGCCTACAGCATGGCAGGGAGCTCCCTGGAATGCCATGGAATCCAAAAGTCAGAGTAAGGCTAGTTTCACTGCAAGCTGCAGAACACTGCTGTGTGTCTCACTGTCTGCTCTCTGTTTCATGTGTTCACCACACAGTGACAACAGTCACGTCCCAGACCATAGCAAAGGATCTCAGTGGACCGTGACTGGGTAGGTCCAGGGCAGGTGGAATCCCTAGGCTTCCTTGGGCAGGAATCACTCCAAGTGCAAACAAACTCTTTCCAAGAACCCATGAGTAACTCAGGTTGGGGGAGTTGGCCATAGTCATATCTTCATTCTTTGAGTTACTATGGACCCTGTTGGAGGGAAGGGACCTCTCAGATAAAGTGCCTGCTTTTTTGTTTGTTTTCAAATTAAAATATCATGAAGCTCTACATTCAAAATCATGAAGATGTTATGTGTCTGAAGACACTTTCTAATGTGGTTGGCACATTTATGAAATAAAACTCATGAAACAATAGACCAGTTAGAATTTGGGATGAGCACAATACAAAACTTCACACCATGGCTCACTTAGCAACAATCAAATGTTTGCTACAGACCAGATTGTCACAACACCACATTTAGGTGTTTAAGGGTGTGCGTTTTTTGTAGTGATGGGAAAGTCTTGGCTTGAAATGCACTTGAAATGGATCCACACGTCATCTCTGAAGCCTCAGAAACATGCGCAGTCATGGAGCACGGCTTTGAGGAGCAGAGAGTTTACAAGAAGCCGAAAGTATAAGAGCTGCTAGTATTCATCATAATTGTTGAGATCTGTAAAGTAGGCGTTGGAGTAGGTCTTCCCAGTGAGATGTGGGTTGAAGTATTTGTTTCTCTCCTCTAAGATCAGGTTGTTTTTATTAAATGCCTGTAAAATATGTTTGAAAAGATTAAGAATGTTCAGTAAATGTTTCCAAAGGAATAAAATTGGGAGATGTAGTGCTGAGTTTGAACTCTCTCTGAAGGCTCTATTAGTTTGGAAAGTGTCTTCTCATTTACTGGCTCCTCAGCTCATTTGCCTCAAGGCTTGGCTAATAACTGGATGAAGTTGGCTGTCTCCAGTAGCATCTGGCCTACTTTAGCACTTTAATCGGGAAGGAACCGAGGGAGACAGAACCAGAAATCCAAAGTCTGAATTACTAGAAAGCCTCTAAGACTCATGCAAATTTATGTACACTGCCCAAGTTATTTTCCGTACCCGGGACACATTAATATGCATCTAGACTTCCACAAAAAGCTCCATTTAATATGTTGTTTTTACTAATTCTTTGAGAATTTTATAAATGTATTTTAATCATATTCATATTCCATCCCTTCCTATCCTTTCAGATCCATTCCCACCTCCCAAACCATGACCTTAATGTCCTATCTTTAATTTTTTTAAACAGATAATCCAATGGCTCCAAGTTATGCTGCCTATATACTCCTGGGTGTGAGGACATCCACTGGAGCATGGAACAGGGGTTACACCCTTAAAGATACCAGTCTTCCTCCCCCAGAAGCCATCAGCATTTACCAAAGATGTTATAGAACTTCTTTAAGCAAGTGCATCTGACTCAAATGCTTAGTCTCTTTTTGTTCTGCACTCATTAAAAGGTGTCCGCTGTGGCCATCTGTGACACAGATGCCCTGTCTCATTAACTGTCATTAAAGTCACATGCAACTTCAAAGAGATTAATTATACCCAGTAGAAAGTAAATATTGAGAAGACCAAGATAAAGATAAAACAGGGTAGGTGGAAGCTAACTTCAAATAATTAGTCTATCGAAGTTCTTGAAGGATTCATTGTAGACTAGGCAGACACCTATCCACTGGGCATCTTTTCCCTCATGGCAGCAACATTTCTAATATCACCTCAAAATGGGAGACTGCACCAAGGTAAGAACACAGACCACTCAGCTACCCACTGCTGACTAAAGAAGCAGGACCACAGCCATGCTGACGGGTTGGCATTGCGCTACAGGGGCTGAGGTTTGTTTGGAAGGCCTACAGCTCAAATTTTCCCTCAACGGTACAGCTCATTTCTGATAGACTATGAATCCTCGTCTTTTACTTTCTCCTAAATCCATCACCTAAAAGGCAGGAGATAGTGATCGATCCAGGACTCTGGTTCAAGCTGAGTTTACAGGTTAAACAAACAACCAACCTACCCCACCCCTGTGCAAGTGGCAGAGAAGGAAGTGAGGACATTGCAGCCCTGGGGTCATAAATCTCCTGTCTGAGACTGACAGAGCCGAATGTTCTGTTTTCCTAATTGTGGATTCATTGGACTCTTTTTTAAAGACTTTATTTTTGAACATTTTATACAATTAAAAAAATCATACAATGAATTATGTTACCTATTCTCCCATTTCCCATTCCAGCTCCTCTCATATCCCCCAACATTTCTCTCTCCCAACTTCATTGTTTGATAACTGACTAAGTGTGGTTAATGCTGCCCATATGCTGATTGGTGTGGGAATATCCACTGGAACACAGAAAGCTCACCATGGACCACATCCTCAGTAAAGACGGATTCTCCCTCACCAGCAACAACCCACTACCAGTAGCTCCTCAGAATAAGGTAGGACCTTGAGATTATCTCTGCCCTATCTATGCCTTCATCTGGTGCAGGTAACCACAGCTCTGGTGAGATCATGATTACAATAGATAGCCATATCATATCCAGAGATATTATTTCACAGCACTCTTCCCTGTCCTCTGGCTTTTCCATTCTTTCTGACCCCTATTCCACAATGTTCCCTGATCCTTGGTGTGGTGCATAATACATGTTCTTATAAAAGAGAATGCTGTTTCAAAGTTAGCTATCATGGCAGGGAGAGAGACTATACCAACGTTCACTAAATATGTTGTGGGAAACAACTAATTCAACAGGAACACAGAAGTTTAGTTAGCCTTGGCTTAGGAGACTTCCCTTCATGAGCATGGAAAATAACAGAAGATGTCATCAGACAAAAGCCCCTGATGCCTTTCCAGCCATACCCTGACTCTCGTACAAACAGTCAGGACAGCAGCTATCATGCTGGCCCTCATGTAGGGTCATTGAAACCTAACAACAATGTCGAGGTATGCCCTATCATCCCTATTTTATAAAGGAGTATACTGAGGTTGGAGGAAATTTAGGTCTTCCTGAAATGGACATGGACATCTGAGTGCCATAATGTGGCCTTTATATTGCTGCTCAGTCATTCATTTGGTCCTAGGCTGGAGGCTCTTTGTTGAAAGACCTCTCTTCAAAGGCAAGAAGCACAGACGAGGCACAGCTAATCACTGTCCAAGATTTACTAGCTCCCAGAATTTATGTATCATTGTTTTCCTTTTGAAACTTTTATTTCCATTAGGAATAGGCAAACAAGAGAAACAAAACTCCAGAGACCCTCCCTCCACCCCCTAGAGTATCCAGCCAATACTTGTAGACTTCCTACAGCTAGCACAGGGAATACCTACAGACTGTCTACACTCTCCAGAGAGCACACAACCAACACTAAAAGGTCCAGGGTACCTGCCCATCACCAGTGCCACTACCACTGAACCTTGCTAGCAGCCCCAGTGTCACATGCCTTTGTGGCCTACCTAGTTGAAGCTGTCACTGTCCATTCCTTACCTTGATGGCCTCCACTGAGTCGTATTTGTCCAGTTTGTTGATGTGGTTGGTGATGCTGCTGTTGAGAGCGGCAGGAGAGACAGGGTGGATCACAGTTGCATCATGGGACTGTTGCTGGTACCGCTGGCAGTAGGTGTAGACAAGAAGGGTGAGGAGGCAGCCGAGGATGGAACTGCTGAGCCCCACAGCCATCATGTGGAACATGTTGAACTCTGTGAAATAGGGCCAATGTCATACTGCACTTGAGAAGAACATGCTACTTGACTCTCAAAGTGCCCCAGTGAAAGGAAAGACAAAAGAAGGTGCTGCATACTCCAAGGTACAGATTTTTTTCCTTGGAAATGTCAGGGCCATGTAAAAACTCCTCCATACTGAGCAGCCTAGTTCAAATCAGTGTTCTTATGAATTACAATCATTTCCTCAAACCCTTTGAACATTGTTAGTATTTCAACCGAAACACATTTGCTTTCCTCTGAATCCCCCAGAGAGCCTTCAAGAGCACAGTGACCACTGGTCTGTGGGTTTTCTATGTGCAGTGTGTCTATGGACCTTAACAAACTGAGCATCCATCTATCCAACATGCCTAGAGCCTGTGAAAGGAGAATTCCCTTGGGGCTCTCAGTTGCTGTACTCCTATAAATAAGCCAGGCTGTTTCTTCCTCTCTGTTTCAGTTTATTTAAATTGTTTTCTATTTACATACACTCTGGTATTGTTCATTGAATGTTTGAAAATACAAATTTTGTTCAATAATAGAAACTTTTGAAAATTAGAAGGAGATAGAAGTGTCTCTTCTTTCTCTAGTTTTGGCTGTGTCTTTCTAGAGATAATGCACAGACTTATTCTCTCTCCCTCCTTCTCTACCTCTCCCTTCCATCCCTCCTTCCCCTCTCCCTCCCACCTTCTCCCTCTTTCCTTCCCTCCATCTCTCTAATTTGTATATGACCTGTGGACCACTTTTTCTAACTTGCACTTAGTGATCTTAGAAAAAAAAAGTCTTAATCTAAGAAATAAAGATTTCTGTTAAAGACACTAAATATAATCTTCTAGCTGGACACAGATGATTTTCTTTTGACCCATTGCTTGTCTAGTTAATAGGCATCTATTCTCTTTGACTTTTTTCCATGAGTTATGGGTAGGAGATATTCGAACAGTGAGCTGCAATGATGTGTCTTGAGCACAGGAGGGATTTGATTGGTATCCTGGCAATACACCAAGAGTTATGGAATGCCTAAGAAACAACCATCTGGAAACCTCCATACTTGTTGGGAAAACACTTCTGTTGAAGTTCCCAACCTTTCTGCAGTGCTCAGAGCAGACCTAAGTGAGAGTCATGTGAAGCAGAAGGTGTCCTCCTTTCTCCTAGTCTGCACTGGCACTAAAGGGCTAACTGTGTTCAGGTAATTAACCTCATGTCCTCAGAGCTCAGGGGGCATCATTAGGATCCCCAGCTGTCTCCTCATGCATCACCAGGAAATGCAACATCATCTGGCAGTTTCCCATAATCTGTCAACTCCAGAGCCAAGTGGGACTGTGGTAGAGCTACTGAGTTTCAGCTTGGACATGGAGTGACATCCTTCACTGTGGATGAAGCCCTTCAAAATACTAGAGGAGACAAGTAGATCTGTCTGCAATCCCCAGGACCTGTTTATAACTGACCTCCACTGGCTTACTTTCTAGGGGTCTGCAGAGCCACCTCCCCTGTGCTCTGTGTTCATTTAGGGCACTTACAACTCAGCAGAAGCTCCACCCTAGAGCTCTGACACTTGTCAAAAGATCACTTGCTACTCTTTACCAATGGATACTAGAACTAGTGCCCTAGGGTTCTGTCAGAATCCCAGATCAAGAAGCCCAGGTGAAGCTCAGCATCAAAATATGAGACGTGTCATTAGGGCCTGATCTGTGTGTTACACAGTAGAAGTTGAAGATCTGTCACATGCCCTCTGACCCTGAGTTTTCTTCTGTACTGTGTTTCTGTCTGTTCCTGGACACTGTTCTAAGAATGCAGATCCCTGAGAGATTGACCTTCCTCACTGGGCTCACTGTCAGCAATGATCAACACACACTCCTAAATGCATTGAGATTCTGAACAGATAGTGAAGTTCCTACCATAGAAGTCCATAACACTAAAGACTGGATAATCTATTGAGAATATTCTACAAGAATCTGCCACTTCCTGACAGTTGAGTGAAGAATCACCTCAATTCTTTATGCCTAGCTCATTTGTTAAATGGTAAGATCATAGAGGGAGGTTACAAGCCTTGGGTGTTTCCTGCTTTGTCATGGAGACTGTGATTGCGCAGGGCTCTCAGTATGTGACTATTGCATGAACCATTCTGCACCCTTTCCACCAACAAACATTAGAATTGTATTGTTTTTACTGAAGATGGAGGCTATAGTGATGATAAGCAAGGCTGATTTCACACACTGGCTCTCGTTTTTTTTTTTTTTTTTTTTTTTTTTCTCTATTTTCGCTGTTAGGACTCCCCTGAGCCGGTGCCACATACTGATAAAAATACTTTTCTACTGTACTTATAACTCATATTTCATTGCTGCATATGGAAGATGTACAATGGTCTCCATATGCAGATGTGCATCATTAGTCATATGAATTATTCCTGCAGGTGCCTGGGGAAGCTGTGGCCAGCTGACATCTTTATGATGAGATTATTCAGACTTTGTGTCTCCTGCAACTAAAAATAGCTCGGCGGAAAGATTTCAATAGGAGCACATTCTCTGCAAAGGGAAAAATAGTGCCTACTAAATCTCAAGCGATTCTGTGCACCGTGGCTCTTCCCTAAATATATGCATTGTCTTTTTAACATTTACTTGGATGTGCTGTGAGTGAGTGAGTGAGTGTGTGTGTGTGTGTGTGTGTGTGTGTGTGTGTGTGTGTGTGTGTGCTCACATGCTCATAAATATGTGCAGGTAGCATGACATATACATGGAGGCCAAAGAACAACTTAAGGAGAGTCAGTTCTCTTCTTTCACTACATGGGACCTTGAGATGGAACTCAGGTCATTTGTCTTGGTGGCAGACATGTTCCTCTTATTCCTGCTATTAGTCAGTTTTTCCCTTGGTTTTTGGACAATGAGGATGGAATAGAGACCAACCACCCAGTCGGTTCAGTTGAATTGCTTTCTATGCAATGCTTGATTGATTTTTAACCAATGGAGATAAAAAATCTATACTGTTTCTCTAAACCTCCTCAAACATTCATGCTATATAATCAGTTATGTTAAACCCATCAGCTCCAGCCTAAGATCCATCTTACCTACTTATGCTGGAACAGCAATGCCAGTAGCTTGAAGGTTAAAACAGTCAGTTTCCTAACAATGGAGAGTAATTACAGATCCTGAGATTTAGCCAATAACATCACCAGGTTAGATGCTGGATTTGCTCAAGGCCCGTAAAGGACTTGCACAGACCCAGCTCTCTGGCCAGAGGAATCAAAAGTTGAGAGACTCTGGCAGCAAGCATGGATGGCCAGTCAACTCCATTGAGGTGCCACCCAGGTGACCCTCAGGTTTATCTTGACCTCTCTGAAGACAGAACACAATTTCTGCACAGCTGCATTCCCAACCTGCAGTTCCTTAAGGTTAACACACAGTCTGATCTGAATGTTGGTGCTGACCAAGAGTATGACCCACACAGGGCTGCTGTAGAAGCCTCCCACATGTTTCCCAGGGATCTACTGGGCTCCTTTTCCCATGATGTTTTCAACGTAAAATCTCTGCTGCATTCTTTTGCCAGGATGCTATCCCTGAGTCCTTTACTCATGACCCATGTGGATCTGAGCCAGTAGCCTCACCTCATTGAGTTCCATGGTCCCCACCGATACAATACAGATAAAAACTGATGCTTACTATTCTTTTAGTGCAATCACCAACGTAAAAATCTCTGAAAATTGTTATTCTTCACTTAGCTGGTAGCAAAATGTGACAAGCTGACTCCTTTGGCTCACATCTGATGACAGCATCACTACAGAGGCTGGTTCTGAACAGAGCCTACAGTGGTTGGACAGTATTAGCACATGTCCTGAGTCTCCCATCTTAGATCTGAAGTTGTTGACTTCCAGAGCCCATCTCCAAGTGCCTCACACAAACATCTATCAGTGTTGTGAGATGCTGATAGGACACGTCTGTCCCTAAAAGTGTTTAGTGGCGTGTCTGGTATATCATGACCAATATGAGGGTGTACTCAGGGGCTTCCCTGCCCAGTCACCCATGTCCAGCTGCAGGACACCATGGGAAGAGAAAGGTTGCACTATGTCAGAGTTCCAACAAGAGCTCCATTAAACAGGAGAACTCACCTCCACATCTTTTCTCTTCTACACTGCTGGATCTTGCCACAGACACTTCTGGAAAAACAAAAATCCAATCACTATGCACAAAGGAGGTGGGAGGAAAGTTTATATCCATGCTTCATTTACATTCTTCATTACAATCATTTCATTCATTGATTTTGAATTCAACATGAATCTAAGGTTCAAAAGCTTGGTTAATTATCAGAAGTGTTGACTGTTTCTTTGTTTTAACAAACCTGTGGTGGATCTGGCTATGTCACCCTCACTAGGAGGGTATGGTATTCAATACCAAAGAAGAAAATGCCATAGTCCCTCGGGCTTGAAACAAGAGCAAGTACTAATTTCTGCTATGACATGTCTCATCAGCTAGGGAACCCCAATAACATTGCCCTGTGTTGTTTTTCTGGTGCAGCATTCTTTATGAACTGAAGGTTGAATCACCAGAGCTCAAGGAAAACTCTACTCAGAAGCCCAGGCATTTGCTTTCTTGTGCCACATGTGAAATCCACCAGGAGGATGTGAGTGAGATGGCAGGTCTTCCGAGTATGTTAACACCCCAGGTATTTAGGAAGGCCAGACTCTCCTACACTGGTTTTTCATTACATAAGAAAAACTGAAAGTATGTTAAACAAAAAGTAACAGCACTCATAGGCTGTTTGTGGTTGAGGTGCCTTCTAAGGGTAGGCTAAAGCTATCAGTCCTGTGTAAAATATTACTGTTCTTTCCACAAGTCAAAAGAAATGAATAAACTGTGCTTCTATAATTTAATCCCATTATTTCTTCACAATAGTTTAGTCCTCGTTTTAGCCCATATAATGTCCCATAGATGCAGGAGGATTGTGTTTCGGGGGCTTATGTGTAAGTAGAATGCCATTGCAGCAAGTGATTGTCCCCTGTGATAACTAAACGTTGACTTCCAATAAAAAGCCTGTGGCAAAAGGAACTTCCAACCCTTTTTTCAAGGCAACATTAATTACAGACATCCATGTTCCCTAGTATATTGAGAGTTACATGAAGACAATGACCCTCTTCTCTGTGCAAATACACAACATTGTCATAGTAAAGTATTTACGCTGATATTAAAACAAGCCATCAGTTTTCAATCTTTGTAGCAAATTCTTACACTACATTAGCATCAATAAATTATATAAGATATAGTGCCAAATTCCAATCTAATTTGCAGTCACCTGTGAATCTATATTCCTGTCACCTTGAAACCACAACAGTTGATAGGATCACTTTTAATTCAGCAAAGGCAGCTTCAAGAGCAGATAAAAGTCTGACCCAATGGGTCATTTCCTCTCTGGATATTGGAATGACTGTGTTCACACTGATAAACATCTCTGCCCTTACCTGGGATGAAATTAGAGTCAAACACGCATGGCCGACTCTCTGTGGTATTTCCGGAACACTGGCTGCCCACAGGAAACAGAAGAATACACTGTCGAGCACGGACCTGGATGCCAGAGGCATCGCACACAGACCAGTCTGACCACAATGACCAGCTTTCTACAGAGACCAGAAGAGGGGGAGAGGCGGGGTTACCTGATGATATCGACCAATCACAGTCAAGTCAGGCTGTGCTTTAGGTTTTCACATTGTGTTTTTAATGGTTCTGTGCATAAGTAAGATGTGGTCATAGCTTTTTATCAATCCAGTAAATAAATCCACAAAAGGATGAGTAAAAGAGCTAAACATTTTAATATATATATATAGATATAATGTATTTAAAGTAAATGTTCTAAGTCCCATAACATCATAATTCTGTGAATATTTTTATTTAAAATAGCCAATAAGCTAATTCTTGAGACAAACATGAGCTCTGAGAATCAGAAATCATCAGTGCAGGCACCATTTCCTACATAGTAAGCTCCCCTACAAAAAGGCCCTCAGATGATTTGCTGGACATTTCCCCCAGGATGCACGCTAGCTAGCACCACATGCTGAAATCCCTGGTTTCAGAATGGAAGTTTAAAGCACCTTTCTTCTGCAATAAACCAACTTTGCAAAGTCACCATGCCAAAGCCAGGCCAGCCAATCAGAGTTCATTTCCCTCCAGGCTTACTGACATGGATAAAGTCAATTCCCACATCCTTGGTCAAGGCCGAAGGATGAGCAGTGGCAGGACACTTCTGCCCGAAGGTGGAGGACTTGTTGGAATGCTTTTCAATCCATCCAGGTGTACCGATGTTCACACATAGGGATAGGACTCATATATCAAGTCAAACAATGAACTCTACATATTATTAATCACCAATATAAGGAGCACATCTTCCTTTTTTATTTTATTTTATTTTTTTAGAATTTAGAAATTCAAGCCGTGCATTGATCCACACAAATGGAATGGCTTTTTCTCTTGAAGACATAAAAGACTGATTTTTTTGGAATCATCATGAGAATTTGGTTTTTGAGGCCCTTTTAAACATAGATGGAATTTTCTAGAAAGATCTGTGCATGCATGCACACTGCTAAAGGATTTCACTGTTAAAGTTAAATGTAGAAAGGTAATTCATTTTCATCCCATGAGGGGTGTGTCAGAATGCCAGGTTACCTCTTTGGTGAAAGGCTGTCTGGTACATCTTACATCAACCACAGGTTCAGAGCTCCCCCCGTCCACAGTCCTGAAGAGGCTCACTTCCTTCTATCACCACCCCCTGTTGCTTGCTTTGCTTTGGTCCTCTGATAGCTGACTGGACTTCATGCCTTGTATTTTAACTGAGCTGCCTTTGAGTATAGCCCTTGTCCTGAGTCAAGTGTCCTCCCACAATGCCCAGTGTTTCCCTGGGACATTTCTAGGCTATTTTCAAGCATATAACATGTGCTGGGCCAGGATAAGCTCGGAAACAAGGAGCCACAAGCAATTCTCCCTGCACACCAGGGTGGGGGTTCTACAAGTGTTTCTTGCTTTCCACTTCTTCCAATCTTCTCTCTCCTCCAGCAAAGAAAGTAAGGTGCTACCTGAGAGTCATCAGTGTTACTTAGTAAGGTCAAAGAGAGTTGGGGTATATTTCCTAGGTAGGTAGTATAGATGCTCCAACATGGGTGCACTTTCCCATTTGCGATGAAAAGAGTACAATGTGAAAACTACTTCACTGTAAAACAAAGTGTTACTAAATCACATCAGGGGTAACAGTGTGAGATTGACCTGCCATCCATTCCTCTATTTCCAGTATTTACTGTGACTTGCAATCTTTAACTTCATCATTCATAATTAAGAAAGGTGAGTTTGCACTAAGGCTATACAGTCACCACGGACATATATACCTGGACAGGTCTGTGTGTTGCAGAGTGCCTCCTCTGTGTGCAGTCCCAGGCAGATGTCCCCTCCATAGGCTGGGGCTGGATTCGTACATGAGCGAGTTCTCATGTAGTGTCCACCACCGCAGGTTGCTGAGCATTTTGACCAGGATGACCAACAAGACCACACACCATCCACTGGGAAAGGACACAAAAAAACATAGCATGTCTGAAGTCCCCACTGGACCAATATGACACAGCTAGAGATAGGATATGCCACATAGAAGACAGCAGGATACACAGAAGAAGTTACTCATGGTGTGGGGACATCTGAGGTTCCCTACTCAGTGGAAGCTACAGATTTGAAGAATCCTTTCAACACTTTCTAGTTCCCTGTTTGTCCTTACGAAAATATTTCTAAACATACGATGTCTAAGCACCAGCACAGCACAGACTTTCAAAGTATGTGACTTGAAACGTCTAGTTTCAGAACCATGAGTCATGTGCTGTAATAATTAATATGAAGCACCCTAAGAATCAATACTTCAGGCAACAGACGTTCCAACAGTTCACATAATTCCTGTCATCCATGCTGGATTCTGCCCAGGGCTTGGATCACCATTTAATGTATCCTAAGTAAGACTGGTTCATGAGAAGATCAAATACCCTGAAGTTTAGATCCTTATTTCTTCCAAGGAAAGAAAGCAATCAGTGACAGAGAACCGTTTTTTGTTGAAATGAAATTCATACATTAAATAGTTCAATGGACAAGGATAGAAAATCATTGCTCTTGCAATTCTAGTTAAATACTCAACTGCTACAATAAGATAAAAACAGAATACAGTTACCACTGATGAAGGAGAGCAAGATAAAGCTGCATAATTAACCCCCAAGTGTCAACCCCACTGTGGGTGGTCACGGGGACAGAGTGGAGCATTTACAGTCTGTCAGTTCATGGGAACATGTGGTGCTGATTCCTCGGCATGCTGAACCCTGGACCTCCAAGCAGCAGGGCTTTTTTCCTCTAAGGGAGCATTGAGTAGAAGTCTCTTGTACTCTCTGTCTCCCCCTGTGGAGGTCCAAGGGTATTGTAGCTAGAAAGCACAGTGTCCTCAGAGTACCACAGGCTTCTGTATTGTTCTCTGGAGAAGACACACCTGCCGGAGTCCCAGAGTCCCCAGTTTGATTCACTGTGCCCTTCCATCATATTCTCAGTGTTCCTTTTCCCTGGGCCTTGTTGTTTACAGAAGAAAGACAAAAGGAACCTGCTGAGTTAAATCGGATCAAAAGAACTTATGTTTATTGTGCTGGGTTTTATTGGTGTCTAAGTACAACTTTGAGTTGCTTTCATCTTATTTGAATACACATAGCAACAAAGAACCATCTGTTGTCTCTAGCTTTTCCAGGCAAGGTCTACAGTCCGGAGTCTTCACTGCTGCATCAAATGTGCCAGGAAAAAAAAGTTATGATCAGAAACCATCATGTGGCTCTCAGTGTTGAGATAAATTATGCAGGAGCAGGTTCAGAAGGTGAAGAATAATCATTTTAGTATGCACTTGACTTTACTATTATTTACTTATGTTAGTGCCACAGATAGAACCAGAGCCTCCAGAATTTGAGACAAGCACTATATTGCTCAGCTCTATCCCCAGTCTGGCTGAACCCTCATGGGCATGCACACCAAGGCCAGAGTAGGAAATTGGGTGCCTTCTACTACCATATTCTCTCTGTCTTATGGCCTTGAGATAGTCTTTTACTGAACCAGATTACCCTGTTGGTTAGGCTTACTGTCCAGAGAGCTCTTGGACTCTGCCTATTGCTGCTCTCAATGTTGTTGTTACAGGCACATGCAGACTGGCCCATATATGTGCATGCTGAGAATTCAAATGCAAATCCTCATGTTTACATACCAAGTGCTGTGACCCATTGATCTGTATGCAGTCTCTGAGAACATTTAAAAAATGATCATGTGTTTTGTAATCTTCACTAGGAACCTAGTACATTTAAAAACATCAGTTTACATAGAATAATATGCCCTAAATTATGGAAAAATTACCCTAAATATATGGATTCCTTTGGACATATAGCTCAACCTCCACAGTGTAGGGGGACTTACTACCAGCTCATAGCTGAGTTATAGGTTGTCACATTTTTAGGAATTTTATGGGTGGTAAAAGATAAAGTTGAGTATTCACCTTGCACAGCCTTGATGTGGGGCGGGACGGGGGGGGGGCACTGGACCTGCCTCATCTGAATGTAGCAGGCTCTGCCTTACCTTTTTGAAGGAGGGAATGGAGGATGGAGTGGGGAAAGTAAGGCTGGGGGGTGGGCGGGAGGAGGGAAGAGAGGGGGATCTGTCCTTGGTATATAAAAATGAATAAAAAAATTCCTTCAGAAAAAAAAGATAAAGTTGATGCTCACACATTCAACCTTGAATTTTCTAATCCCTTGGGCAAAGACATGGACAACTCTGCAAAGGAATCTTGGCTTGTAAAAGGAAATGAGGACAGAGTTATTTTAAGATATTCAGGCCATGTACACATAATCCTGGCTCAACAGCAAGTCAACAAAAATAAAATTTAAAACTACTCACAGATGATGCTATCAGAATGTCTAAAAATGGACAAGAAACATTTACCCTCAGGGACCAGGATCACATCTAAGCATCTCTAGGACTCCACATGGGCTACTAATGGACCCAAGAAATTAAGTTTGGAGTCTAGAGAAGACAGGGTGATGGAGGGAACTTGGCATTCCCATATCCTTCTCCTTGGCTCCAGTTCACAGCTGTGATTCAAATCTAGTGATATCGCCCACGCTGCCTCCAAACACCCGGGGGAGGAATTCTTCTACATGGGCTGTGGGAAAGAACAACTCCGCGACCTTTCCCAGCATCTCAGCATCGGTTTGACTGGGAAAGTTGTGTAGTCTGAAGAGGAATAGTCTGAGGCTGCAGAAATTCAGGCATAAAGGCCTCATGGGAAAAGCACAACTGTAGGAGCAAAGACATCATTGAGTATCACTGCTACAGGTAAATGGAAGGAACTAGAAAGGTTTGGGTTGCGTGGTGTGTGACCAACACCTGGAAAGACAATGTTGCATGTTGTCTCTCATCTGATGTTCTTAGCTACACATTGCCAGATGCGAGTATATAACCTGGAGTAACTATAGAAACCAGAAGGGGAAAAGGGGACCATTGTGGAATGGTGGTGATGGGGAGCAATAGAGAGGAATCTAGAATCAAGCGATCTGAGGGGAGTGGGGAAATGGGGACTCTAACGAGGGAGAGGGAACAGAGTTAATTAAATACAGCAGGAAGACAATAGTAAAATGTCTGAAAAACTCATAAGGAATCATAACTACTAGCTATATACCCACAAATACCTATAATACATGTAAGTATGTATTCATATAGTATAAATAAAATTTTCCCATATGGGCTGACAATGCTCCCTGAAAGAGCCATACACTATCTAACAGAAACCCATTAACAGGCCTAAACATCTCTCTTCTGAGTTGTTGGTCAGGTTGTCCAAGAGAATCCCAGAACATTCTAGACTATTGTTGTTGTCCCTGGTTGCCATCCAGAGGTGTAAGGTAAATTGCTATTTCTGAAAATACCCATTTACTTCAGACACAGGGCCCACAGGACCTGAGCTGATGTGATCCAAAAGTCTGCTCCCTGGGGACTAGTTTTTATGATACCCAGAAGGTACAATGAAAGCTTCCAAAGGAGACAAGCAACCAGTAGTCCTACTCATCTACGATGCCTATGAACCATAACAATGAACATCATGATTCTGTAACCCTACGGGTACAGTAGTGGATACACATACTTTAGCAGTTACCAACAGCTCTCTAATTGGATTTCAGGCTGACTCAACAAGAGGAAAACCATGCTTGGGACTGGAAAGCTAGCCAGCTACCCAGGGCTAGTGAAGTCAGGGATCTTGAAGAACATACAACTGCAACTGGTTTACTAAACCAGGATAATTCCCAACCATATTCTAAATAGTTATACTTATAGCCATAGATAAGTGTAGTGCCCTCACCTAGGAAATTTCTCTCTGTAACAGACAGACAGACACTATTACAGGAAACCACAAGGGATCAAAATACAGAACTGTGGAGCTCAGTCATGACGGATAACATCTACAACGTAACTTTGCACTCAAGGCTCAGGTAGAATTATGAGAGAGGAGGAGCAAAGGCTGAGAGAGCAAAAGGATCAGGGAGTTAAGTGTGAGGTCAGGGAGCTATGTGCCTCCTAATACTGTCAGAAACTACATCCATAAAATCTCACCAACATGGCTGCCTAAACATGACCTGAACAAGGATGACACCATTTTTAATGTAGAAAGAGGAAAGCTCATGAGTCCTCCATTTTACACAAAGAACTGCAGGCAAAGAAATGCTGGAAGCAGTAGAAACGATTCTCCACAGGGAAGAACATACCAATTGGTTGTCCAATACCAAATGGCCAGCCCAGAAAACATATATACAAGTAGCATACATACCGAGCAGGTTGTATTTATGAATGTATTCAATAAAATTAAAGAAAAGGTGGTTATGCTTTGAAGAGAGCAATGGGTACATGGGAGGACTTGGAGGGAGGAAAGAGAAGGGGGTAATGGAATAATTATCTTATAATCTCAAAAATTTAAAAAGTTATTTATAAAAGAAAAAACATCAAAACAAGGCTGGGACCTTGATTTCAACTTTACCTACATGTTTACCAATCCATTACCATCTGTCTACTCATCTGTCTATCCATTTACCCAACCATCTACCCAAAGATAACCTAGACATCCACTTATCTATCCAGTTAATCATTCATCCATCTGCCTATCCTTTCCACAACAAACGCTTATTAATCTCTTACAAGAGTTTATTACTCAAATAATTTAGAAAGTTGTATATATTTATAGGAATAGATGCTAAGGTTTTTATTCCCTTAAAACCAATGTTTCTAATATTTAGAATGAGTTTCTCCTACACAGGATTTCTTATTCCTGCTTGCCAATTTGATGAACTCCTTCCTACCCCTCAATACTAGGCTCACAGTACCCTGGTTGGTTTACCTTTTATGATTCTAGTTTGTATGTCATCAGCTGATGTGGCCACTGCATGGCAACATACCACAAAGCCAGGAATCAATGGCTGTACTAGGTTGACATTATTTATGAGATGCATATGTATAGCATATATGTATATATGTGCCTGTTACTGGGTTTCTGTTAGATAGCCTATGGCTCTTAGGGGGAGCATTGGCAGCCCATATAGGAAAATTTTATTTATACTATTTGTAATGCATAAATCAATGGTGCTCTCTGTGGAAGGAAGACCAATTTTCCAGTGCTTTATTCCCTCATCATTTGACAACTATCCACAGATATTTCTAGGTGTGCTATGCCTGTGCAATAGCTAAGATCACTACGGTGTGTGAGCCTGGGGCTTCTACTCAGGCATAAGGCAAAGGTGGTGTGCACAAGGACAAGGTTATAATCGCTTTAAGACTTTGTGTTAAAGAGCCTGAGACTAGGAGAAGGTCAGGTGACACACAGCTCTATTAGTCGCCAGAAGAGAAACCTGTCCTTAGAGGGTTTCATTCATGGGGTGGGCCCCTCTATGCAATAGGTGAGATGGAACTGGGCTGCTGGCTGATGTCCCTGGTATGGCACTGTGGCAGCCATGACTCTATGGACTTGGTAGAGGTCATATTGAAAGGGTTGGTTCTATCTGCATCCTGAAAGTGTCTAACACTTATTTTGGGGACAACACATAAAACTTGCCAACTAGTGACAGGGCTTAGACCACAAGATCTGAGTATGTGCTGTATTGCTTTATGTCAACTTGACACAAGCTAAAGTCATCTGAGAGGAGGGAGCCTCAATTGAGAAAATGTCTCCATAAATTCTGGCTACAGACAAGCCTGTAGGGCATTGTCTTAACTAGTGATTGATAGGGGAGGGCCCAGCCTGTAATGGGTGGTGCTATCCCTGAGCTGGTGATCCTGGGTTTTACAAAAAGCAAGCTGATCAAACCAGAGAGAGTAAGCCTCCATTAACACTGCTCTATGGCCTCTGCAACAGCTCCTGCTTCCAGGTTCCTGTCCTGTTTGAGTTCCTGCCATTTCAACTTTTGATGACAATCCATTATATGGAATTATGAGTGAAATAAACCTGTTCTTCCTCATGTTATTTTGGTCATGGTGTTTCATCATAGAATAATAACCCCTACTAAAACAAAGTGAGATAGGTCTCCAGTGGCTTCCAGAGGCTTTCAGGTATTAAGGACTGCAAGCACACAGTTTTCCCAGTCTTTTTCACACTGTGATCCACTTACCTGGGCAGGGTAAAATGTTGCATTCCTGGAACTCCAGGGATGGGCCAAGGCAGGGCATGCCCCCATACTTGGGTTCTGGGTTGTTGCAAACACGCTTCCGGTTCCGAATGCCTCTGCTGCAGTCTCGGCTGCACTGTGACCAGGAAGTCCATGCTGACCACGCCCCATTGACTGTATGGGCAGAGTATCTCCCAGCTCGTAGAAAGTCTCCAGAAAGACCTGCCAAGGAAACCCAAAGTGTGATTCTGCAGTGTAGGCTGTTTGCTTTATGTCTAGAATTACCCTAATAGTCAACTGAACCCTTTTCACACTTCAAAAGCCCCAAACCCACTGTAGCTGAATGGCAGCCTCCTAGAACTCATGCTTCTTTCCTGTAGTTACTATCTAATTAGGGTGCACGTGGTACTCCATCTGAATGTGGCAACACATTTGCAACCAGCAAGTTCATATCAGTGATTCTTCTCTCTTTTGTAGAGGACTCTAAAGAATGCCCCTGGTTCACTTTCTTTAGGAGTTCTACTGCAAACTGTCCTCATGAACCATGGGACTGGTGCTACAGGAAAGATATTTGTCTGGAAAAGGGGGCACAGCTTAGACCTGTGCCTTCTCACTTAACCTTTTCAGTGTGAATTCATGCTGTAAAAGGATCAGAGTTAATCCCTCTTGAATCACAGACCATGAAGACAACAGTTTGCTCCAGAGAGCTTGCGCAGATCCCATCCCTGAATAAGCTTGCCTAAGATGTTGCACGTATGCTTGCTAACAAAATGGAACAGTAGGGATTAGGGGTGCTGATAGTGGTGGGGTGAGGATGGACAAGCATTATAAGAATATGTGAATTGTTTTTTGAAGACTCCTTGCATATCAGACCTGATCCGAACATTTTTACTTATTTAATCAGACTCAGTCAAAATTTGTGTGAAGAAGATACAGCCCGACTTATGATATTAAACCTATTCAGTCATTGTCTCACAAATAGTGATGTTTTCACCAACCACTGGTCATGTGGTGGCAATTGTTCTCACAAGCAAGCAAACACCAACACCCATAGCCATTCCTGAGCAAGCTTCTTGTTTGGTGCCGTGCAGGCAGGATGGTCTTCTAAGATAAGACATTAGGTGATGTGGGATGGTCTGTATGTCAAATGTGTTGCTGATTGGTCAATAAATAAATCACTGATTGGCCAGTGGCCAGGCAGGAAGTATAGGCGGGACTAACAGAGAGGAGAATTGAGAGAACAGGAAGCTGGGTGAGAGAGACACTGCCAGCCACCACCATGACAAGCCGTATGTGAAGATGCCGGTAAGCCACGAGCCATGCGGCAAGGTATAGATTAATAGAAATGGATTAATTTAAGCTGTAAGAACAGTTAGCAAGAAGCCTGCCACGGCCATACAGTTTGTAACCAATATAAGTCTCTGTATTTATTTGGTTGGGTCTGAGTGGCTGTGGGACTGGCAGGTAAGAGAGATTTGCCCTGACCGTGGGCCAGGCAGGAAAACTCTAGATACAAATGGCACCCAATGTGTTGGCAAGAGTTTCCACCTAAAACCTGAGTAAAAAGATTCTAAAACGGAGCTAAAAATAGCTCCTAGTTGTCTCTTTTAAGCTAGCGGCAGCCTGCGTGTTTGAGCTACTATGGCAGGTTCCTGGCGTGCATGTTCGACCTGCAGTATGGTGGGAATGAGGCCTCTGCAAGTGGCACATTAAGCTATGTGGTGGATTTAGCCTTTGCTAGTACAAAACAACAAAAAAAGAGGTTTCTGGGCTACACACTGCTTTGATAGAAGCATAGACCCACTATTTCTGAGAGTTGATGGCTCCCAGAGCTGGCGGAAAATGTACCACCGCCATGTTGGGAAGCTGAAGTGGGCGGAGCCAGCAGGGCCAGCGCCATTTCAGGCTTAGAAGGCTGCAGTTTAAAGCAATAGGCTCAAGCTAATATAAAAAAATAAGCCACGTAAAGATGGCTACCACACAGAGAATCTGGATTATGTTCTCTTTGATATTCATAACTGAAGAAAAACATTTGAATACAAAAGCTGTTGAGTTATTCCAAAATGTATATTTTAAAGGTACCTTGACTTCAAAATTTGGATGTAAAGATATGTTGCTTTGGAAAGGAGGCTCTGCTTTTGTTTCCACAGAAAGCCAGAGGCTATGGATTTGTTCCAGATTAAGATACATCAGGTTTGACCAGCCAAGACCCCCTGAAAGGTCTCTGATGACACCATGGCCCAGATGATCCAACATCCAGAATGGTTTGAAGGCAACTGGCTCAGACAATACAGCCGCATGGACTATTCCATAATCCTAAAATTTTCTTTGTGTCCCCATAAGATACAGCGCCCCCCTTCAGCAGGAAGTAGTAAGAAAAGCTACGCCCAAATTCCCAAATATACCAAGCTGATTTTGGAGATGTGTAAAGGTTAAAACCTTCCTTTTTAAGAAAAGAAAAGGGGAAGTGCTGTGGGATAGTCTGTATGTCAAATGTGTTGCTGATTGGTTAATAAATAAATCACTGATTGGCCAGTGGCCAGGCAGGAAGTATAGGCAGGACTAACAGAGAGGAGAATTGAGAGAACAGGAAGCTGGGTGGGAGAGACACTGCCAGCCGCTACCATGACAAGCCGTATGTGAAGATGCCGGTAAGCCACGAGCCATGTGGCAAGGTATAGATTAATAGAAATGGATTAATTTAAGCTGAAAGAACAGTTAGCAAGAAGCCTGCCACGGCCATACAGTTTGTAACCAATATAAGTCTCTGTGTTTACTTGGTTGGGTCTGAGTGGCTGTGGGACTGGCAGGTGAGAGAGATTTGACCTGACCGTGGGCCAGGCAGGAAATCTCTAGCTACAATTAGGAGCAGCTTTTTGAATCCGGCCAGTGTTTTGTGGGTTATCAATAAACAAACAATGGTGGGCAAGGCTCCTTTTCTGTGTTCAGAAGCACATGTGTCCAATTTTCAGTTTTCAAGACATCAATAACACGATGTGAGGATTATCATCAGAACTCAAAGCCATCAAAACATAGACTATTTACATTTCTTTTTACCATGGGCAATGCTTGCAGTTTTAATAAAATATAGGCTATCTTTGTATAATGTGCTTTTACAAAAATTTATAAATTTTTATAAAATCATTTTTAAAACATATATTCATGAATAATATATATACTATTAATATTTAAAACATACTTGCTTTGGTGTTATATGTATCTGAGAATGGAAAGAATAAAAGTATGCGTTAAGGGAGGAAAATAAAGTCAATTGTAAAGATATACCATGCTTCATTTTCAACATTTCACTTTGATGGCACCATAAATAAATGTCATGGCCCATACAGAATAATGGTGTAAGTAAATTCATGAAAAGGTCATCATCTCAAAAAGTGAAATGAAGAAAGACCAATTAAACATGAATTTAAGATGAACAATTAATAATATTTTAGGATATGTGTTTTCCACTTAGACTTCATAGGGCATAGTTGTATTTAAGACAATATATGGGAATTATATATATAATTAAGAAGTCATATAGGATATAATAGGAAAAAATTGAAATAATATCTGAAATTAATCTCTGAATTCTCATATTCTATCTCATAATCTTGATTAAAATGATAAGATTGCCCTTTATAGAATGTACATTTTCCAGCTGGGTTTCCTGTTCTCCTTTATTGGAATTTCCAAGTAAATCTTTTCTTTGAGTAACAGCAGGTTTTTATAAAAAGAGCAAAAGTGACTGTTCTCTGCTGCTCCTCTTCCAAGTGATGGCTTTAGTTCTAAGTTGTACATTTATTTTCATAAGACCCTTAATCAGAGTAGTCTGCGTCCCTTTTAAGAAACAATGGGCTGTGTGTTGTTGAACTGTAGGTATCTGCAATCTGAGATGTGTCAAGACCTGAAAACACAGAGGATGAAGAGGAGTGCTTTGGAAGTGCATGGTGCTCTATAAGAATTGTTGTTCATCAGGTATCCAGGCAGGCTATCCACACCCAGAGAAGGCATGGGGATCTGTGACCAGAGAGCAGTGCAGCCCATCCCTTAGAACTTGACTGGGATAAATGTGACCTATCTGACCCTCCCTGTGTCTGAACACCAATCTACGAACACCAACACTCACATTGGGAGAATCAAGGACAATCACGATCACAGAGTGCTGAGTAATGCTTATGAATGTTCTGTCACTGATGTAACTGCCCTTCTCATGAAGTCATGCTGTGGGCACTCCTCTATGAGTGTCTCTTTCCTTTTAAGAGCCAGAATGTATTTTGTGCAATCAGATAAAAGTATTTTTTTAAAAAAGGAAGAACAAAGCAAATAATGAAGCTTGGGGAAAAGGCTCAACCATTCCTGCAGGAAGTCTAGGGAGAGAACTGCCTGACAGACCGTGGGCAGTGTCCAGGCCAGGCAGAGGATGGGGCTGCATCTGCCTTGGCTCTCCAAAACATTCACAAAACTGTTGCTGAAGTTTTCTCCAGTCCTGCCTGGCCAATGGTCAGGACAAATCTCTCTCCCCTGCCAGTCCCACAGCCGCTCAGACCCAACAGAGTAAACACACAGAGACTTATATTGCTTACAAACTATATGGCCATGGCAGGCTTCTTGTTATCTAGTTATTCTATCTTAAATTAACCCATTTCTATTAATCTATACTTTGCCATGTGGCTCTTGGTTACAGGACATCCCACAGCACAAAACCACTAGGTTAAAGCACTATTAGCATAATTGGATCCAATGTGCTATTTAACAGAAAAATCACTTTAGGTATAAATAAAGAAATGTACTTCTACTGTCTTTGTCTACTTCAGGACTTTTTTTTTCTTCCGAGATAGGGTTTCTCAGTGTAACAGCTTTGGCTGTCCTGGAACTCACTCTGTAGACCAAGCTGGCCTTGAACTCTTAGAGATCTGCCTGCCTCTGCCCCCCCCCCCAAGTGCTGGGATTAAAGGCATGTGCTACCACTGCCTGGCTACTTTAAGGTTTTTAAAAGGGGGGAATCTAATTTTCAGCTACTATTTTTATGACAGCTACTCTTTTCATCATATTCTCTTATATTAAATAAACCCACACAAACTATTTTGGATCTACCATAGGCACAACAAAGTTTGAACAGAGACTCCCACTAGTTTTCCATTTCCTTAGAGACAAGGACAAAGGCTTTCCATTAAGTGGCCAGTCTCACAGAACTTCCTCACCATCTGTGGAGCAGCCGCTGGTCCCATCACTGGAACAGTATCGCATTTCAATCCTCTGCCTCCCCACTTCCAGCAAATTTGGATCTGGCAGGCGAGCTTTACATGTGTATCGGAACCGCTGCTCATAGTGACCACCATTGTCCGAGATGTTGACAGGTGTCCAGGGAGTCCACGGTGTGGTCTTCTTCAACTCTGGGCATGCATTGGTGTTACAAGGCTGGTACTCCTGGAGAAGAGAATACACAGTATGTCTTAACCCTGCAGCACATAGCCAGCTCAGGGAGACTCCTTTTATAACATGTCACAGGTCATCAAAACTTTGGGGCCTAAGACATTCAAAGCTCCTTCACAAAATCAAAACTATACTTATGCTGAACTGTCACTTAACAGACACTTAGTTTTCAAGTCACCTTCAAATGAAACTGGTGGTTTCTGCTGTATAGACAATGAAAATGAGAAAATAAACAAAATTGCATGCGAAAAACCATGGCAACTTCCTAAAATGGCATCTTCCTTTTTCTTAGTAAGTTACTCACAATGCTGTTTATCTTGGTGTTAGTTTAGCTCTTTTTTTAAAACCTTAGAACCAGAATATGCTCCCTATACTCCAGATGATTTAGTTTGAGATTAATGAATACTAGAAGCCTTGGGAGAAGATTCAAGTATTGGAGTGGAGGAGTATCCGCACAGCACAGGAAATGATGCACAGCCTGATTTCCTCCTCTGGTCCCCCCAATTAATCTATGACATTTCTCAGTTTCTCCTCCATCCTTTCATGACTACACATAACCATAGGTTGGAGCGTTTGGGAGATTCATAGAGAGTAGATTTGAAGATCTATAAAGAGAGACACACTGTCTGGGTGGGGTGTAAACAGGACATGGGTGATAAAAATGTGCCTGGCACATTTACTTATTACTTTGCCATAAATACTATGGATATTGAATGAGTAGTAAATAGTTGACCTTTGAGGCAGTTCTGTGTCCCAATTCCTCCAATCAACAGTAAAGGTTATTTCACTAGGAGAAAACTACCAACATAAGGTACCTACTTATGACCATACTGTAAAATTTTAAATTAATGTGAAATCAAACACAAAACAAGAGCTCAGCCACTCTCAGGACACAGCACCAGCGTTGCACTTATGAACTCCCATGGATGTGGCTGTGCGCACAAGACCTGCACAAGATCAAGACAGTCAAAATCCTAGCAGGGGTGACAGAGAGGCTAATGAAATCCTACCCCTGTCTGAGGTTGCTGGGGGAAGGAGTCAGTTTTATTCAGGGATGTGACCCATGAGAAGCTACTCATGTTCCTGTAGATGGTCTTATACCCACAGTTATGTACCAAACACTAAGTGGACACAACAGGCTCTCTAAAAGAGGAGCATACACAGTTTGGAGGGAAATGTGGTGGGGAGACGGGGGAGAACGTGAAAAGGAGGGAAGTTGGGGTAGATTAGACAAACACATTCATGTATGAAATTCTCAGAGAAAAACAACAGAAAAGGAAGCATAGCTATGCTGGGTGCTCTGCATTTCTGTGCTAGGCTTTCCTTTCTTTTTTTATTTCTTTTTGGGGAAGTCATCATTTTTCTTATGGTTTTTTTGCTGGAGTAAATCCTGTAGTGCATTCTTAAGTAAGGATGCCTTCAAGACAAACAACTCATGCTTCCTTACCCTCACGTAACATCCACAGGTGTTAATCTATATGAAAACAATCTACATGTATTAAGATATTGGAAGAGATTTTAGGTCGAGAATGAATATCCTTCAGAAAGGACCATTTCCTGTGCATTTATCTCCCAGTGACACAGTTGAGAAGTGCAACATTAGCTGATCAGCTACCTATGTATGGGTTATTTCGGAAAACTATTTTAACTTATAAATTGATTTTTTTTCTTGCTTTAGAAATTTTCTTGATGGTTTTGTTATGCGGTCTCTATCCCCCTCCCTTGCTGTGTTGGAATTTCTATCCTCTGGATATGATCTCTTAGGTTTAAATTTGACTATCTCATCTATTATCTCTGTTTTATTTATTTAATTATCTCCCCTTACATTTTAGGGGAATTCTGAGATCATTCTTTTTGGTATTGTTTCCATAAATAGTTTGGGCATACAGAGCCAACTTTTTTTATCAGCCTGGAAATTCTTGAAACACAATTTCTAAATGCCAACCAATAGGCAACTGGGAAGCAGACCCTCTAAGCTCCAAGCCTGACTTGGTGGCTGTGTTAACTCTTTTCTGTGCAGGTCCATCTCTATCGGTCTAGAGTCATTTATTTTTCCACTGAAAACCATGAAACTGGTTCTTGTTTTTCTGTGTTTCTGGGGCTAGGGCTTAGAAAACCAATCTCCTTAATATAGAATTAGTGAGTTTCTGGACATGGTCACCCATGTATGCCTGTGGCAGTAGCTTAAACTGAAAGGCACTCTTATCATTGTTCTAATTATTCTAAGTAGTCTTCTCATGCTTTTCTTCCTTTTCTACAGTGGGAAATACTCAGGAGTTATGCTTGTAACACGAGAGGAATTTAACACAGAATGTGTAAAATCACTATGGGTGTTTCTTGGACTTAATACCCACAGCCATTCCTACCTATCCACACCATCCTCACTCCAACCAAACTGCCAAGATGGATGACTTCACTTTTCTCTGTGGATAGCAAAATTTTGGATGCTGCCTCCTAAATGGAAAAACAGCCCCAGTAAATTCTATAAACCCACTTGGGCAAGGAGGTGGATGCAGCATGTACACTCTGTCTCTTTCACTTGGCATAGAAGTTATCAGACAGGAGAGGGAGAAGCCTCTATCTCAACCCTTCTGTGCCTATCCTGAGGGGTGCTGGATTAAAAGAACCATACAACACTATTGTCTGATGCCCCATGTCAGCTTGGCTGGGCAAGTGTTCAGTAATTCTTTGATAACATAGACTTAAAAAAGCATCCAAGAGGTTGACTTGTGAACTGTGCAGTTCTTAAGCACCAACAGCTTCAATATTGCTCGTAGAATAGCTATGTCTTTATACCCATGAGACTACTCGCAATAATCCCTAGCATCAGGTGACATCAAACGTTTGAAATCTGTGGCTGGTACTTGCATTGGAAAGTGGGTGCTAGTGTCTGGGTTGGCATGTGTCAGAAGGACAGACTGTCACACATCCGTAGCAGTGAGTTTAGCTCACTGCAGCAGATCAATTTGGGTTCATTATATCTAAGTCTCTAACTGCATCTGTCTCCATGTTCGTATCTTTTCAAAACTTTAGCATGCAGCTCAGAACTTGGCTCACCAGCCTCTGAGGATAGATCAAGCTTGCATTTTGTGTGAATTATCTAATTATGAAAGGCTAGGAAACAGTGAGACCAGTCTGTTTTATCTTAATTCCCCAAATTAGGCAGCAATTCAATTCAGTTGTGGAGCCTCAGATGGTTTAACTGAAACAGTTTACTGGTTTACTGCTGCAATGACTACCCAAATTTGAAGGCAATGTGAATGAGTAGCACACCATTAAACAATAAGGAAATATTGAGTGTTTAAAAAATAATTTAAGGAGTTAATTGCTACTATTTGCCACACACCAGTCTTACTATTCTGGTAGAAATTAACAGATAAGAATAGTTACTAAGGCAATTTTAAGAAATTCCTCCTGATGTGCTCCCCATGGATTCTCTAGCTCAGTCAGCAAAGATAAAACCATCCATTTAAAATTTTAATCCAGAAACCTGTGAGACACCCAGCTGCCCCCCTGCCCCGTTTTCTGCTAAGTCCTCTAAGTGTGGCCTTCTGAGTTCATTTCCTGCTCCCATCTTAACCATTTCTCTTCTCTTTCAGGAGAAAATTGGCCATCGCTCATCACTTCAGGCTCATGTTAGAGAAACAAGGCGTGCACTTCACTAATCCTTAATTCTCTATCTAAATTCTGCCTCCATTAATACATTGTAAGTTTTCAGTGAAAAAAAAGAACTTTAACATTTTTATCTCACATCACCAGTTTCAAGCACAGTTACACAAGTTGCTTGGTGAATGGGTAAATTATATTGAACATGGTTCGAATAAGCCTATTCAAGAGGAATTTGCATAAATTTGGGGAGCAAATTCAGATGGTTAAGTGGAGCCTCCTGTTTTGCTGTTTATTTTTCCTTTGAAAAATCTATAAGAGTTTACAGATTAAAAGTAAAGTAGAGAGATGGAGAGGATCCAAGAAGAATTTTCATGCCATATGCTCAGCACAATGTGGGAGAAACATCCTGAAAGTCATTTCATCAATAGCTGAATATACAAACCAATTTATGCTAATATGGAATCCTTGTGGTTTCTGTGTGCATTTATCAAGTTCTCATTCAGTAACTAAACTTGGCATGTAGAGACAGAAAGCTAGCCTCCATAAAAGAAACAACAAAGCAATTCAATTGTGTTACCAAAGTGCCCAAGCATGGGTGCTTATGCAGGCCAACAGACCTGAGACCACAAAGAAAAGATTAAAAGGAAGTTCTCTGGATTAGTTTAATGGTACCTAGGATGGCAGGCAAGCAGGGAAAGTAATTGATTCAGACTAACATGGTCACCGAGTGGCCTGCTCACCACCAAGATAGAGCAACAGAAATTAAGTCTTTTCTCAAAATAGCCCAAAGTAACATGAAACAACATTTTTTTTGAGATGCTAGACATCAGTCAGTAAGAGAATGTTTACTGCATGATGGTGAAAAATGGAAGGAACCCCAGGATGACTTCAACAGTTCTGAAGATGTTCCCAGACAGGGGTTTAGGGAATGCAAAGGAATATCAGATTCAGACGTGAAAAAAACTGGGGGAGATGTATATGGGATGTGGGGATGCCAAAATGGCTACAGTCAGAAAGGAGAGATATGCACAGGGAAACAAAACAAAACAACAATGAAAACAAAAAAAAAAAACAAAACAAAACTAACCAACCAGCCAACCAAAAAATGTTATATATAATCTTACTATGATAAAATTAAAACCTTCCTTTTTAATTAGACAAATAGGGAAGAATGCTGTGGAATAATCCTTCTGTACACTATGACTATGTTTTACTCTCATTGGTTAATAAAGAAGCTGATTGGACTACAGCAAGGCAGGATGAAGTTAGGCCGGACAATCAAATTGAGGAAGCTAGGAAGAAGATAGGCAGAGCCAAGAGATGCCAGCCAGCTACTGAGCAAGCAGGATGTGTAGAAAATAAGGTAACAAGCCATGGGCCACGTG